TGACTAGTAATGCCAACCTCAATCAGGATTACATCACTTCGCTTCTTATCGTGTATCATGATATCCGGTCGATCCGCTTTAATTCTAGTTGCAGTTCTCACTCGCGTATCGACTCTGATCTCAACGTTTTCATTAGCGACGACCTCCTGAACAGCAATGGCTTCCGTATGCGCGAGGATGGCTTTAGACCATTTTTCTTGCAGAGTCTCAAATGGATGCATCGCAGTAACCTCATAATGTTCTTATAATAGTGATATAATACTTTTTCGCATTGCGTTGTTAGAGCCATCCTCGGTTAACTGTCTTCACACGTTCCCTAAACTGTTGGCACATACCATTCTCAACTCCAAATATATTTCTATCTCGGAGGTGACAGTATCGCGCTTTATCCTGTAGGGTAATATCGTAGCCACATTGATGAATCTGACACAGAGGATAGCTCATTTTTACGCATTTTGTATAGCTTTGCATGACGAGTCTTCTTTGGTATTTCGCTATACAATGAGGTTTATATATATATATATTGACACTTACCGTGGAACATATTTGAAAATTCGAAGTATCATCCGGTGTAAAGTCATGAATCCTATTCCAATTATTAACAAAAGGACTCAGTGATGCCTTCATCATGTGCTCTGAAATATATTGAATTGATGCTGTCTGTCGAAATTTCATATCCATTTGTACATTCAGCTCTTCTTAAGGCGAAAATTTTTCCAAGCTCAAAACTTGACAAGTTCGAACACAAAGTGATCGAAGAAAGATGTTCCGAGAGCAGAAAAAATTGTGACCAAACCTTCTAGTTTTTCATAAAAAAGAGCAAGCGATCGAAATCGTATAAATTTACTGGATTCGATGATTGGTCTCGTTGCACAGAAAAGGGAAATGTCAATATCAATGCAATCTCGAGTTCGAAACTGCTGGCAAATTGTAAACAACGAAATATTTTTGCAGTCCCGAATGAATACACTAGAACGTTTCCTTTGTAAATATATAGATTTATTCGTGTTCGTATTTTAACAAAAGTGCAAAATGAAATACTGAACAGTACAACCTATTCCAACCAAAATATTAATTTTGTTATCTTTTATCAGATATAATTTGCGTCAGTTAATTGATTGAAATCTAATTGTTTGATAAGAAAAATGCAAATCAAGTCTACCTTCCTTTGCAAGGACCAGTAACAATGAGGCAATCTTCACAGTCATCAATGTTTACTGTAGCCAAGTGATCAAGCAATAATATGCAGCATTCCTGAAATTTTTTTAAATGGATTATTTTTCAGTTCAGATAGTTTTCTGAGAGTTTCATTTTTCAAAGATGCCTTTATTGGCTATAAATTATCTGTAAATGATGCAAGAACTAACTTTACATTTGTCAATTACAAATTGCTCTCCAGCGATATGGCCATCTGATTTAATAACATTGTCTCCGTAATGATTTATAAAACGATATTCAGCTGGATCGCTTTTTTTTTTGTCCCTATATGTTCCTTACTTCATTAATCACGTATATGAAAGGAAAAAATAAAACGTCTGAGTCGTAACAGGTATTTCTATTATCTAGGAATGATCTGTCGAGAAAAGAACTGATTTTTGATTAAAATGTAGAATTCAATACATTACTGTTTTCAGCAGCAGTATTACTGCAGACATTGGCTAATTCTCAAATGCTGTGGTCATCATTAAATGCTTCATACAAATCAACTTTTGATCATTTAATTATTTTTTTTTGCATGTCTATATTCTTCACCTAAAATTCAGCCAATGTGCTCTCATAATGGATGGTAGTGCGAATGAAGTTCAGATGTGACTATAATTTAATCTTCAAGTAGTACATTTATATAGTGAGTTATATAATGGAATATAGATATTAAAATACTGAAAGCACTTGAATTATTGTTCATTTCGAATTTTACAGATATGTAGCTGATGTGATGGAATAAATAAAGTTTTTTTGAAATTCCTATAACAGTTTGTTGTTAAACATAGCGCAGAATATCTATGTTTGTTGTTTTGAGTATGTAGCTGATTGATGAAAATGAAAAAAGAAATAAATACCAAGAGTAATTGCCGATTTGCTCATTTTTCATTTGATATCGCTCTTCACGCTTTGGTCGTTTGCAAATTAGACAACAAAAACGAATCATCAGAACATCGTAATCAGCATTTTAACATTTTCTCGTGAACAATTTGGGATTTAAATGTGCTACTAGAATTTAAGACAGCGCTCAATTCTGAGATATAATAACTTAAAATATTTTGAATAGTTTCGGATGAAAAATAATAGAATTAAGAAAACAGTAGAAGTTTCCTGAGTTAGCTATCTTTTTAATGAACAATTGAATACTCTACCTTAGGATGCAAATAATGCAAGACGTAGTTATATCCATCTATGGTTACCATGGTTACTTTTGAGCAATTTTGATTACTTCTTTGCCATTTGAACTGATAGGCATTCCTCTCTTTAAAAGAGTAATATGCGAAAAATAGGAACATAAGTATCTGAGTGACATACACCTATATTCTAGACTGACATGGAAGAATTTTACTAGGAAATTACTGAGAACAATTACCAAATGAAAGGAAAAAACAGTTCTTCCGTCCTGAATATAATTCCTACGATTTGATCTGCAAATTGAAAAGATTCAAGTTAAGCATACAAATATACATCATACTTTGAAAGCCAACATATAATTCAGTACTTTTGTCACCAAACACTGCTGCACTTCCATCGCCTGCTTTAAAAGCAGCAAATAGTTATTCTTCGGATTTGTTTGGAACAAACAAAATTGCCTCGCACAACCGCCGTAGGAATGTGAAGGACAACAAATATGAAGAATATAGCATATTAAAATGCAGGCTAACGGTAATCAGAATGCAAGCAAAAAGCCTGTTTAATGTAAATGTCCACTATTTAAATGTTACAGTAATATGCTTACAATCTCATCATATTTCCGTAAATTGTGAAACGTCTGATCGCTTCGCTTCGTAAGGGACAGTTCTCCAGACTGATAACCCATGAGAGGTAGACGAGTATTTTGAAGTAAAAGAGAAATTAGAATCGAATTTAGTCCTGTAGTTCTTTTTAAATTAGCAGCTCAAAATTATGATAATTACAGTGTAGACGTGTTAACAAAACACTTTCGAATTGCCGATTTTATCTATGTGAAAGAGACAGTGCGAAGGCCACAAATAAACTTTTTTCAAACATTCTTTTTAAAAAATTGACTACAGATTACAAGCAGTACATGACAGATTTTAATGCACCCAGTTGTTTAAATTAATATACTCCAAAGATAATTGAAAGAATGTACGAAACTATAATACTACGAATTATCCAAAAATGTTTTGCAGAAAAACAGAAAATTAAGAAATATACATGTACACCTACAAATCTTGAGCGAGCAAACCTACACAATTACTAACGAGAAAAATATTAAAAAAGTTTAGATGACACTTTTTTCCACCACAGAGAAATCTCCAATGGGTAATCAATCACAAGAGTAGATATATTTTGACAGTAAAACTAACTATTGATGTCGTTTAAAAAATTTTTGGTACGTGAAGTATTGAGGGAAATAACAGCATTACAAAAATCAAAGCAGTCAATGAAATCACAGATGATAATATTGAAATATTTAGGTTCATCAAAATTACTCAACCACACAATTGCTTCTTTTGTGCATTTAGTAGCATACAGTCTTTCTAGAGTGGAAAACGGATGTAATAAAATATCAATCCATTTTGCAGTCAAAATTGCTTGAGTAACAAAGAAAGTATTTTTGGCACTTTTCCTGTGATCTCTCAGTGTCTTATCCAAAAAAGCAAACAACCGATCAATTCGATCCACATTTGCATACGGACTTATAATGCTGCTCGAATCCCATATCCAAGATATGCATTGCTGACTTGTCAAATCTACTGCTGCTATAGTTATTACCTGATAACCGGACTCCCACATGTATGCTAGGCTTAACTTCATTATATCATCTGGTTGTGGACACAACTTCTTTCCAAATACACTTTGTAACATAACGAAAAGACTGGCATATGCAGTTCTGTCAAAGTTATAGAGATGATTGAAGTCAAGAATTACAACCTCTCGGTAATGAGACACTAAAAATTCATTAATATGAAGAAGAAAATGTTCAATGCGATCACCATAAAGTGCATGAAGAACACGAATACCGTCTAATTCAGAAAATAATGGCACTGTCAGTCGAATATCGAAATAGCGAATCCCAGCATATAACTGTTCAGTAACTGAGTACTGCTGCGTCCTTGACCATCGTCGAATAAAACGTCGTACAAATCGAAATCGTCCTAATTCTCGAATAAACCGACCTTGATCATTAGCTACTGGATATTTGTCGAATAAAGTTTGAGTAAAAGAATCATGCGATCCTTAAAGCACCAACTAAAATTCTATAAATAACAGCTATCTAAATTTCACTGCTTAATATCACATGAAAGCTGTCATACGTTTTAATTTTAGGGAAACACACATGATAGTTAAAGCCTTCAAACAATTAGATAACTTTTCAACTTAATGATAAAACAATTTGGGATAAATGAAATTAAAAAACATGAAAAAAAAATGATTTAGTGCTGCCTACCAGGTATGGCGATAGAAATTAAGGGTTTCTGTATGAGCGTCTGGTGTAGATGGCTCATCCAGCACTCTCCTACTCTACATGCCATAAGCTTCGCCTGATTTTAATTCAACTGAAAGATTATCAAGCTGTTAGTATCGTACCACCTTAATGTACTGGCTAGGATAGCCTGAAATAACACGGCATCTCTCACCTCTTTCCAAGATGAGGCTGGTGGGCATTTAAAGTTGGTATTCTGAGTAGTTTTTTCTCGATTACTTTTTACATGATTTATAGTGACTACTCAGAACCTTTCATGGTGAAACTTGAGAGTCATTGCTGTAAATACTCGACGGTTTTAACATTCCTCCATCTTTCTCGCACATCCAACTGAAGTGATAAAGCATGAAGTAACTTACAAGCTGAAGTATGCAAGCACTGCATCTTTTGTGTTACTCGGTGGCCCCAGAAAGTAAATTTGCTTGTAGTCGCTACAATGTAATGAGGAATGCTTTGCTGGATGTAATCTGCTCGATCAGATTTCGTTGTTTGAAATTACTTTTAACTGTGATGCTAAAAGAAGTGAAAGTCAATTCGAAGTGGTGAAGTAAAGGTATTTGCTAATGATTGCTTCTCCAGTATTTCACTTACAGTTTTCAAATGACTTCTACGTACTGTTGAATGTTTTCAATATGTAATAAGGCAGAGGAAACTGTTGTAGTGAAAAAATCTGTGGAATTGGTGTCTCCAATTTTCGGTTTTAGAATTATTCTTGACTGTCTTCTTTCTGTTTCATTTACAATTTTTTTTCTTACGTTCATTGATTTTGTTGTCATGGATGAGGCAAACGATTCTGTTATGCATTATATGAATGTCAGTACAATGTCATTAATTATATCCATTTTGTTTATCAAATAGAACACGAAAAAGTTACACTGTAGGGAAATCTGAGTTGTTCATAGTATGTGAATAGTTTTTGTGCTTTAATCTTGAAATATGCTACTCAATGTGCCGTCTCATGTAATTCCATGTCCATTATTTACTTTTAATGTAACAAAGTAGTCGGAAATCTACATATTTACTGTCTTATTTTTCTTATTTCAGGATATGGAAAAGGATTTCTACATAACAGAATATATGAGTTATGGGCGATCTCAGATGAACTGTACAATAAAAAAGTTTTGTTCAGACTTCATCGTCAACGAAATAACACCAGATGGAACTGTTCTTGGCAAGCGAAATTTTTTTTTCTCAATTTTTACTTCAATTGTACTGATTATTAGATTCAGTTATGCTTATTTTTATACTTTTTTCATCAATAATGTATGGGTATTTAATACTGGATTTTGATTTTCCATGCATATGTACTAATTTTCAAGGCAGAAAGGTAAATTAAAAAGGGTGTCAATTATTTTTTACCTTGTTTTGCTAATACAATAGAGAAATCCTATCATTTTAAGATTTGTTTTAGAAGTACCTTTGCCATATAAGATGGAAATAGACGTCGAAAATGAGCAGAATGAAAAAACTTTAGCAAATTTAAATGATATACCTACTCCAGAAGGTGTCACCCAAGAATTAATTTCGAAAATCGATGCTCTTGTTGGAAAAAATTCTGATTTTGTTGAAATATCAGTTAAAGTTGGTTCCGATTTTGTTCTACTGATAGATTCAATATGTGGCGATATCTTTGGAAGACCGGTCCGTACCACTTTATATCTAATAATTTTTGGCTCAGGGTATGGAAAAGGAAAAACGAACAGTTATACATGAATGGATTCGTAATCGATATAGTAATCGTTTGGATTCACAAACAATAGACACTGCGATTCGAGTTTTCATTTCAGATAGAAATAGCAGGTATTTTTTTGTATTTATCATAAACCAGCCAAATATTCGTAGCATTTCTTCATTACTCGTTAATGCATTGTTAAATTTTTGTATGTAATCGGTTTTTGTGGCCAGTGTAAAGTGGTTTATCTCTTATAATAATAAACTCCACTCTTCATTAATGTCTTATTTCTATGTACTTTTTCAAGTATCTCATTTTGTTATTTTGTTTAACTTGCACAGAAAAAGGAAAAATTGGCAAGCGACTCTTCCTGATTATATTCATTTCACATTGTGTAAAGAAAACAAAGACACGCAATTTGCTCTTTCTACGATTGCAAAGTTTTTGAGGTCGGTTTAAGTTTATTATGCATAGTTTGCTTGAAAGTATGTTGTATGTATTGTTCAAATATAGGGTGAAAGTTTCTTCATTTGGTATTTGTGGTACCAAGGATCGTCGAGCTATTACTACGCAGCGAGTTTCTTTGTATCGATTTGAAATTGAGCGATTGAAAAAACTTAATGCCAAATTGCATGGCATCAAGCTCGCAGACTTTACTCAGCATTCGACAGCATGCAAATTAGGTAGCCATTGGGGAAATAAGTTCAAAGTCATTTTAAGGTATTTCTACTATTATGATTCTCCATTAGTATATTTGTTAGATCACTTTTTTCAGTAAAGGATGTCAAAAATGCAGATTGTAGCATACACTATCTCTGGTTTTATTGCAATAAATCACAAAGAAGAGATGTATGCAAGATTTTTTATCAAATTTATAATTGAAGAGATGTGCAATTTGAAGAAAATGATTTGCTGAGTAGAATCGAGGATTTAAAAGCAAATGGTTTCATCAACTATTTTGGATCTCAGCGTTTTGGATCATGTGGTATAAATACAGCTGCAGTTGGAATCGCGATTTTAAAACGGCAATGGGAAGTTGCTGTAAAAGAAATTTTGAGACCCAGAGTTATTCATGGTTAGGACATCTTTCGTTTTTATTATAATAAAATTTTATCTTATATTCATTCTTTTTTTGTTTGGAAACGGCATAACTTTATGGATTAAAGTTCAGGTAATATGGGAGAAGCTCTGGATGTATGGAATGCATCCGGTAAGGCTTCAGAAGCCTTAAAAAAACTTGTTGACTGCCAGGTTAGTAATTAGTGATTTGTACTTATACATCGTAGTATGTTTTTCAAACTTTGGTGTTTGTGTATGATTTGAAGCCATAGACTCTAAGACTTGTAGTGGTTTTGTAAATTCAGATACATTCTACTATCGAGGGACAAGTGTTATCATCTCTTAATAAAGACGAAAACAACTATTGCACTGCATTGATGAAATTAGCACGAAATACACGCAGCTTCTATGTACATGCTTATCAAAGCTTATTATGGAACCGAGTAATTGTTTGTTATGATTTTCTTTTCAGTTAATGTTTTCCACTAATCGTACTTTGAATTTTCATGTTTTTCGAAACAAAGCTAATGATATTATATTAGATTCGTATTTAACAATTTTAAATCAACTGTAATGCTTGTATTATCAAAGGTTGCTAGCCAGAGAGTGAAAATAAAAGGAACTCGACCTGTTGCTGGTGACTTAAATATTCAAGGTCAGAAAATTGAAGATTTTGTGAATGAGGAGGTCGCTTTACCCCTCATCTCGGGGTCTCAACAAATTCTCGATGATGAAGGTTCTTCAGTCAAAATTTTTATGCAGTGGTGTGAAATGATATGAGATGATATATTATTGTTTGCATTTGTTTTATGCGGTTAAACATTTTCTAATTTTGAAAGTTATGATAGCCATGGGTATTGAGTTAGAAATTTAAATTTTTTATGCCAAATTTTGTAAAATTTTTGAAGAATTCAATAAACAACATCCTTTTATTTATTAGTGGTCTTAAGATTGTGACCATCATTTTTAAAGTTCGAGGTTGGTATGAAGAAATGATGACCGTGGATGGTGTAACGACAGATATGTTCGACGCTGTTGCAAAGCAAGTTTATTTTGTTAGATTTCATATTAGCTGTTAACTAAGGATGTCTGCAGTTTTTCAGTTTAACATAATTATTATTTTGTAGGGAATATGCAATTGGTACGGTTATGCGTCCTTTGATTGTTAAGCCACGCAATTTGGAATATAAAATATTGACCTATCCGAAGGCTGATACGAGGTTACATGCAGATCTTGAAAGAGATATTGACTCTGAAAGTATTGGAACAGGCGATTTTCAAGCGATTGCGTTAGAATTTTTGTTACCTTCTGGATCTTATGCAACTGTTGCTTTACGTGAAATTACAAGGTGAATTTATGTCATTGAAAATATTTTCGACATGCAAGGTTTTCATCCATCACTATAGCATATGTCTACCGATTTGAGATGTAAATATTGTCTTTCTGTGCTTTAGTTTGTGTATTATTGTAAAAAATTTCAGTTGAGTTAATTTTCCTTTCAAGAAAATATTACGTCTACATATAATGAAATGAGTTTTCTTTTGCAGATGTGACATGAGTAAATTAAGTCAGATATCTATGGCCAAGAAGGAAACTGTTGGAAAAATTTGAATTGTTTGGTTATTCGTATTCAAATGAAGCTGAATAATACTTTTAATATCTTATGTTCATTTAAATTATTCTATAAGTTCATTTGTTAACAGTTATATTCAGGATAAAGTTTATTATTATCATTTGTCTAGCATTTTTTTGATAAACTATGTTTCATTCTCAGTTTGTTATTTAATAGAGTAGCTGAAATACTGTTATTTGTTCTTTCGATTCTAATATTATTTTCAGGATTTTCTGAATGTACATCAAGTTTTTTGCATATTTGGATTTAAAAATTCAGTTTTCAATTTCTGTTGCCAGTCATCACCCAGAAATTTAGTTTATCATCACAACTTCTGCAGCAAAGAAGAATGAGATTGAGTGTTAAGGGACCTAATGGGAGGTTAGAAGTTTTCGAAAATGTAGGAGACTGGAGCTTTTTCAATTTACGAGAAGCAGTAATTCAACGATTCAATTTGACACAGTAAGATGCAGTTTTATTGGTTTTATCCCTTAAGTTTTATAATGCAGCAGTAAATTTATCTTAAATCATCACAGAATAAACTGGTAACTTAGTTCTTCCTCTGCAGTTCATTCCAGTTATTTGTAAAGATTAACTTTCAGTATTTTTTTCCTGGACTATTTGCATATTCTATTGATCGCTTATGAATGTATATCTTTTTTTGAGTTTCCAAGATGTATTTATTCCACTTTGTAATTCATTGTACAAGAGCTTTCTTTATGTGCGATGCTTACTAATTATGGTTAATTTCAGTGATTTCGTTCTATATTTTGGTAGTTGTCAGCTACCAATAAATGACTCGAAATTGGTTGACTCCAGCTTGGGGTTGGTCACTGGAGATCGTCTAAAGCTGGTTGTGAATGAAACAAAGTGCGTTTTTTTTCTTAAATAGTTTTCAAGCCTAAAATGACCCTGGAATTAGTGCAATTTGAAAGTCTTTGTAATAACTTTCTAACACACTTTTGCGGAGTGTCTTAGATAATCATCACAAAGACTTAGATATGTAATAAATATGGCTATTATAACGGTAGTTATACGTATTAAATTTCAAATCGTTTGTTAGTGGTCTTGCTAACAAATGTGGTAAATCAGTAATCTCATCAAGATGTGAAAACAGTGAATTGGACAATCTTGAGAGGAATGAAACTGTTTTCGAAGTTGTACTTGAAGAAATGAAGAATCGAGACTTTAAGGCCTGGCTTGTTTTCATTTAGTTTACTTCAATAATATGCAGTTGAGGAATAATTTTTTGAACGTTTCACTCTTTTTTTGGAACTTGGAGATGTGTGATTTGATTTATTCTTGAGTAGTTTACTTTTTAAGGATAGTGTGAAAAGATTAGCAGAATAATCATCTTAAGGTGGTGGAAAGTCATGTCATATTTTTGCTCTATCATACTTTTGTGTTGAATGTAAAATTTAGGCGAAATTCGACTATTTATTGAGTTACAGGATTATTATCTTTTTTTCCTTATTAAACAGTGGCTGGAAATTTCCAGGAATTTTGAGAACTAGTGCAAAAAATCTGGCAAAAAAATTAGAGGAAAACTGTGCTGTTTTTAAAAATAAAAAGTACTGATGTTTTGCTTGGCGGAGTATTCGAAACGAAATAGATAGCGAGGAAATTGTACTGCGAAAGTTTTCATTGTTTCTCAGCCATTTTTATTTAGTACATTCTGATTGAAATTGAGTTTGTCTATAGATCTATAAAATTAAGCAATATTAAGAGAAATTTTCTGCAGTAATACCCTATTTTAGTAAACTTAAATGACTTCCGTAATATTTTTAATTTAACATGCTCTTGGTTTACCTTACTGATTTTAGTGCATTAAACGGGAAAACGATGATACACGTTGGACATTTCTTCATCCACATTCAGTACTTATTGTGGAAATTGATTTCCGTGTTTACAATGATCGATTAATAAAGTACATTCATGCTACTGCTAGTATTAATCATTCATCGAGACGCAGATTTCTGGATCCAGTTATTTTGGAAGAAAATAGTTCTGAATCGAGGAAAAAAATAATTGAAAACTTGGTTTCACCGATAGAACTGGCGTTATTGGGACGTAAGTGTGTTGTATTCAAAAATTACTCTAAATATAACGTAGACATTCAATTACGTTCATCAACATAGAAACCCATCTGAATGGAGGAAACTTATTGAAGTAATTTGTCTCTACAAGCGGTTAAGTTTTTAGAATTATGGTGCATATTTATGTAGTTTCCTATAAGTGTTCCGCAAATCTATTATGAATTTATCGTTTATTTAGGTCAAATCATACACAAATTTCTTTACCTAAATACGAATCTTCAAAGGTGCTCATATTCTTAATGATTACTCAGTTAACTTAATTCTTTTGAGCGCCAAATACATGTTGAATCTATTTAATTGATTATTATAATTCTTCCTTATTGCTTAAATTTTGATTGGTGATTCCAGCTACAGCAGCTATTGTACAATATACATTTGTTCATGGTCTTATGTATTCATATCCTCTTTGGCTATCTACAAAATTACTTTCAGATAAAAATACATTTTTGCGTTTACTTGGAAATAGCGCAGTGGCTGAATGCTTATTGAAGAAATTGAATGCTAGAAGTATTTTGCGATTAGAGATTACCAGTAAATATGCTCTGGAAATATGTAGGAGTGAAGGAATGAACAGAATTTGGAAACTGCTGTACGAAAAAGATTTTGGAAAAAGTAGATTTTCATTTATACTTCTTGAAACTGAGATTTAAATCATTAAATATCATGGTATTTTACATTCATTGTTATCTTGTCTGATAAATTTTAAGATTTGTGTTTGCGGAAAGAGGTATCGTATCGTGAGGCATACAAAAAAATGTATATGCGGCATGTAAGAGAGCGCGATTACCTGCATGATTTTGAAACCAGCACTCATCTCGATGTTCCTGTTCGTGGATCTTTTCCATATCAGCCATACAGGCCGCTAAATCCCGATCCTGACATGCCTCAAGGACCATTTCAACCTGTATTCCATCATCCTTTCACACCACCTGCAAATCCTTTTCCACTATTGCCTAGATCAAGAAGTCCATTTGATCCTTTTAGTGGTAGAGAATTGTTACCCAGTCGTCCTGTAAGACCGAGTGGCGTTCCTAGAATACTGCCGCGCGGTCCTCACTCACTAACTGGCAATAATCCATTTGATACAAATAATGATTTCATTTGATAGCATGTAATTATATATTAATCTTCATACAATTCGATGGATATATATGTATTATATTCGTAAATAGTTTGTTCAATTTTTTTTGGCTGCAATTCCTGATATAATAAATATTGTTTTTTAGTTGCAGGAATTCAGCTTCTATCGTTGTTTATTTTTTTCGAAACTGTGTATAAATTGGTAACATTGTATAAAAGCTCTTTTGATGCTGAAAATTCAGATCTTTAAGTATTTGATAAGGATTTGCTATAAGACTGCATGAGAAATCATCTTTTCTATTGTTTTAAATCACATAAAAGCTCAATTCTTTTATTGTTATAAACATTCAATAAGTACAAACAGTAGATTAATCTCTGTATAAAGAAGGAGGAAGCCTTTTTTGATTTTATGGACATAGGGCATTATGATACATTGTAGATTTCCTTCATTATCGAAGAAACTTACTGGGAGTTTATGCGTAAGTCTGAGAATTACAACGATGTCAGTTACGATTATGATTGGAGATATGTTATTCATGCACTAAGATCTATACATAATAAGGCAGATTTGGCTGCTTGTGGAGGGACAAGATTCATGGTACAAAAGGACACCTGCCTCTGATTTCAAAGGCTTCCAAACAAAGGCCAGTAACCTGTATATCAGACCTTTGAAAGTTGATTATGAAGTGTGTGGCTTGAGTCTGCAGTTGCATGTTGCGACGAGAAGACTACTTGTAGACAACCAGTTAGGAAATGTTGGAAAGATTCAAGGTGTAAAGGAGCAAGCACTGTGAATCTGGCGGTATACAGAGAGCATGGAAACCAGTTATTTACCACGTGATATGACGTCAAAAAAGCGTTCGTTCTAGTTAGTCACAAATACCTGATTAAGTGCATTGAGAAGCTCAGCATGGCAACGAGGATCAGCAGGTTTCGGAGAAGCATTACCTCCAGATAATCAGTTACATTGAAAAGCAATGTAGGAACCGTAATGGAGGAAAAAATAGCAGGAAATCCTCGAAGGTGACAGCCTTTCTCCGCTGCTATTCGTCATGTGCATGGACTCGTTGAGCCGTCGGCTTTGGCGGTTCCAACCGATCAGGCAATGCACATAGTGAACCATTTATTATTTGTTGCTGACCTCAAGTTTCTTGCTACTGACGAGGATATAATGAAATCTATGGCCAAGGAAGTTAAAAAATTCTCTGAAGTAATAGGATTATAGGTGGATCCAACAAAGTCAGCCACCAATACTGAGGTCAGCTCTGACGAGGCGACACTCTTGCAAGGTGCTCAAGGGTACAGACACCTTGGATTATTGTAAGACAAGATTAGCGCTCTGACCCGAGAAAGCTACGATGAAGTTCAAGCAGAGATTTTGGCGAGAATTGAGTGATTAGCCAAAACTGCACTAAACGGCAGAACTTTATCAAGGCATTAAATCAGCACGCCATAGGATTAAGGAACTAATATATTGACGTGCTCGAACTGGAACCAGAAGATTTTGAAGCAAATGACCACGGTATCAGGTAGCTGCTAAATAGATACGGAATCCACAAATCAACCTGCATGAATTTCACGAAAAATTGAATTTCATTTTGGTTTGTGGTAATTACATACAAAAGTTACAAGATAAGTCTGAGCGACAAAAAAGAGTTGAGAATCCTGTCGAAATCAAGATTTGTTGTTTTATGTGCATACATATTGGAATTCTTCAGTGTTAAATCGAATAATTATTTTGACAATCTCAGTATTCCATTTCCGATTGAATGGTCTTTTGTAGCAAGAAGTAAGAATATTTAATAAGGCTTGAGTATTAGATAATCTTATTCTTAAACGTCAATATATTATTCTCCAGCAAAGTAATTACTTTTTCCTTGTTTCACTACTCTTATAAATCTGGTGTTATCGTTGACTGCTTGTGGTTTAATGGTTTCGTGGGTATAATTAGATGCACATGCTGAAACCAGCAGAAATAATTGACGTCACTTCATTCTTGCTTGATAGCATTTAATTTTTGTGCGAACGAAGAATGATCCTTGCGAAAGATTCATTTTCACACAGCTTTGCATATGATATGATCAGTAGATGTAATCATTGCAATTTCATTCGTTTTTTATCTTACAGAAGCAGAATTCATCAAAACCATTTTGTAAATTGTTTATAAGTTTTCAAAAAAGTCAAAAAGGTAGATGTGTTCACTGTTCATCGGTACATAATTTTTATATAGAGCTGAAGCTGCAGTATCACTTCAGCAACTATTTCTTGAGCGCTCTTTTTAAAAGTCAGAATTATATCTTAACTCATAGTTAATCGATTTTCTACAATTGTTTGATCAAATTTATATTTTGCTAAAAATGTTCAAGAACAAGGATGCCGAGATATGTTAAAGTTGTTTGTTTATGCGATATATAGATTTTAGGTTTTGACAAGAAGCAGTATTAAATTATTTGTCTTAAGCGAGAAGAGATGCAAAGCATCAGAAAAATATCCAAAACTGGTTACTCGACAAGATTTAAATCCCTTCAAATCTTACTGGAAAACATTCATCAATCCCTTGTATAAATACTATACATTGTTGTTATTTCTGTTTCCTTACTATCTTTTCCAATTTATATAATCTTATTTATTTGAAGAATAGTAGATAGAATTATACAATAGACAGCATTACATTCAAACATCACAGAGTATTTATGAATGTTATTTTTCTAGATTCTTTAATTTGACATTACATGTTGTTTCGGTATGAACAGAGCAATGGCTGAAATTTTACATATTTTTTAAGCATTTTGAAGTATAGTTTTGTTTTATCAGATGGCAAGCGCAATGAGTTTCAGTTTGCATTCAAAGGATTGAAATCAAGTTAAAGCATGCTTAAAATATGGAAGTTAAGAATTCCTGAAGGTCCACAAAACTACATTTCATAAGTTTTTTTGAATATGACGAGTTGCTTACTATATAAATTTAATAAAATATTTTCCATCATCAATGCCGTTTCTTAAGAGAAGTTGTCTATATCTGATAATTATTAAACAAAGTCCGTTCAATTCATATTTTTTATAAAATGATATTACTTTTTTATGATTAATCCTGATCCTCGCACCTCAAAGTATACTCTTATTTTTATCAAATTTCTTTTACAGTTTCACTTCAATCAAATTAAATTCAAGCCTTACATGCCTTTTTCTGTGTTTTTTTTTGCCCAAAATTACACTAAAAACCATAACTATTGCTGCTACTGCTATCGCTTCTGTTATTACTACACAATGTTATTGTTCTCCTAGTCTTTGCTTTTTGCATTATATTTAAACAAATATTTTCGCAATGGCAAAAATTTGTAAATCGGACGTTCTACGTCTGAGTTTTTGATTTAGGACAAAAAATATCGCCTTGTCTAATAATTTTGAGTGTTATTGTTTCCAGAACTTCTTGTTATTTCGAAACTTTTCAAAATTCGAAATCGTTTAGACTGTATCTGACTCTCTCAGCAACTTACTTTTGATTTTCTCAGCGGAAGTATCGGAATTTTTTATTGATTCTCAGTGTTGTTAAGTATGCTTCCTCTCACAAATCTAGGAAATCACTGCCATTAATAAAATATGTTTGTGTTCAGTTCACAATTTTAACATATTAAATCTATATAGTACTCAACATATTCAACAACAAAAATATTATTGAAGTTAGTTGTAACTATTAACAAGCTCATCAGCAAACTTTTTTAGAACAATTGAAGAGACAGTTCTGCGATCTTGTTCTTTTTTTTCTACATGTCCTTTTATCATCAGTGGGGAACAGTTTAATCTTCAACATTTCAATTTCGGAAAAATAAGCATTGTTTATTTATTTGCTACTTACTATAAAAACATTTGAGTTGATGGTATCATCCACTTTAAAATTCCTCACTCACGTAAATATTTATTGGCGGACAGTGTTGCTGAAATCACTGATGGCAATCATAATTATTTGAGTGATGAAGAGTATAAAATTTGTTCCCGTATAAATTTGATTATATATTTCTCATTACCAAAGGTGACTGTTGCAAAAATTGATGACTCGCTAGTTTTGTTATTCTTCGTAGCACTTCTACAGTACGATTCAATATTTTTCTCTGTATGATGGAGTTGGAATAAGTAACTTGTGAGGTACGCCATACTACAATCTTGTAAATATCCTCAAGTACCTGAAGATATCTTTAGTCTGAGCTTAAGCTGAATGAAAATTAAGTTCATGTTAAAGCATTTACTAGCATGAATGACAGCATTATGCTGAAAACGGTATATTATACAACGGTGTTTTTCTATCTAAAATCTTGGATTTACATTTCAAGAAATCGTACTCATGTTTTCTAACGTATGGTTCGTTGGTGTATTATCTTCAGCTCAGTATAGAAAGCGAGGATGCTACAGAGAGCTCAGCGAAGGTCAGGATGAAGGATCAAGGGTGAAGGCCTCTTTTCGACATCTTTACCAGCATTAATCATCGCTGAGCTGTTGGTATTGCTCTGCAAAGCATGTCTAAAGAAACTGTCTTTGCTTGCATTTTCATATAAATTTTGTGAAAAGGAGAGTAAACAATTGACTCATCACTTTTTCCCTCTCTTCTATGTGCTAGGAATTCAAAATATCAAAGGGAAGACAGAGATTTTCGGTGTAGACCAACGACAAACGAAGTAGATAATTACTTCTAGGACAAGTAAAGAGTGGACATGGGTCATAGGTTACTAAGAAAATTTAAATTTGCAGATAGTGTTTTTGCCAAACTCATAAGGATACCATAGTTTTCTGTTAAGTTTGCATTTTTTTTATTTCTATCTTAAAGTAGGTAGGTATTAGAATTCCGCGAATAATTCAAATTGAAAATTTTGACATAATAGACGTCAAATGTTTGTTAAATTTAAAATTCATCGCCATTGTCATGAAATGCGTGACAGTGGCGATAATTTTTATATCAGGATAGTATATAGCATAATGTAGTAAATGATTACAGAAGTGGACAAGAAATGGCAAGGAAGAGCAATTGCCGGTAGCAGTGGATGATTTGCAGCAAGTGGAAGATAAAGTAAATTGTGAAGGTAGTAAAGTTTACTCCGTAGGTAGTAATAATTTCTAATTATTACTTTTACTAATCAGTACTAGTAGTGATAGTAGTGATAAAAAATACTAGCAAATTGAAGACTGGATTAAATGCAACAAGTAATATTTGATTGCTGCTTTGTTAGTTCTGCTACCGAATTTAAACTCTAGGAGATGAAGTTGGTGTCAAATGATGAAATAACCTGTTAGTTTGTGTTTCACTCTCAAGCAACACCTTATAAGATTCACTCACTCTTCCAGCTTTTCTAGATCATTTCATTCTCGCATATGTGCATATCGCGCTGTTATGCTTACTTTTAGGTAAATATTACACGAGTAGATTTCAGGGCGAGAACTGCATTACTGATCTATTTATCACTTATTCTCTAGATTTTCCTTTTATTAATATTTTGCCATAATTTATACTCATCTCTACCATCACGATCATTTTCAATTTAACCCTTTTTTTCTCATAACTGGCATTTGTTATGCTCTCAGAGAACTCAACTTCTTGTTGTAACAGCTTCGCAATGAATTTGTGCAATTAGAAATTAATGATAGCATTTTCCAATTTTGGCATGAAATTTTTATTTCACAACTTCCAAGTCTACTTTTGTACCGATAGTTGTAATTTTATGATTCGTTTGTTACTTAGTAATATTCGATAGAATCTATAGCAGAATTCCACGGTTTGAAGTAATAGCTTCGGATTTGTTTCAGGCAATAAATTTTTGAATTAACGAAAGTAAAAACAATGAGGCAAGAATATTTTTTGTGTCGTTGCAAAACTGGTTCCAAAATATGCAGTACTTTATTGTCGACTTCGCCAGTTCCAAAATTAGATGCGGAAGTCATCATAATAGGTTTTTCATATTTTTATTTTTCACATTTTACGGCATCTGGACTTTGAAACTTTTCTGTGAGCGATATGTAAATTTCATATTGATAGTCAATTTGAAAATTTGAGCAGCAGGGAAAATTTTTATTTATGCTGCAGTATCATTTTCATCAGTTATAAATTATAATTTCAGTACATTCTTGTATTAATCCCTTGTGTGACGAAATGTTACAAGAAGTGAGTTTCATGTTAATTAAAAATCATTCAAGGAAACGGACCTGCCGGTTTATCATTATCAGCATTTCTTTCGGGTTGGTTACCATTCTACTCACCTGATGATAGTCCTCATCCCAATGAATTTATCCATGATAAACTTTCGGAACACAACGAAAATTCGTTATTTGACCAGGTTTTTGTTTTAATTTCTTTGCCATAAAAAATAAGATTTAAATATTCATTAGTTTTTTACGTTCTGTGTAGAAAATAATGAAATCTTAATTAAATTGTTGCTATTGAACAGTTTATTTCAGGATTTTTCATGGCTGGACAATAGTATAAATATTATGAATAGTGGAGCAAGACCATTTTCGTTGCTGTTTGATAATCTTATGCGTCCTAGTGTAGACAATATTAATTTTCGCAGTTCAGTGCTTACTTGGATTTACAATCCAAGTCGTGCTATTTCTCATTTAGTTATTGCAGAAACACCACTTGGTGGGTCTTGGAATCACTACGACGATAATGTAAGTATTGAAGTGTGAAGTAAATATAATTAGAAAAAGGAATCTTTATTTAAAGTTTTTTTTTTAATTATTTCAGATGATATCCGTGAGTGTAGATAATCTTCTCGATTTGCCAGCTTTTCGTATCGCTGATTGGCGCGATGGATCTGATCTTAACCGTCGCTTACCAGCATCTGTTTATCGCAAATATCTTTCCGATTATGCGGAAGTAATGCTCATTAATAAACAATTCACTGTTGGCTTCAGAGTGGAACAGATAAAGGTAGTATGTGGGCGCTATATGATACATGTTTTGTAAACAGTTATTACTTTCGTGGTAGTTTGCTTACTGTTTTAGTTATTGGTAATCTGTTTTTATAGTTTTTGATACTATTTTTCACTTTACTTGTTAGGTTGAGTTTTTTTCTGATATAATTATTAACCAGCTTATTCTGAAGTAAAATTGTTTTCAGAAATGTTGTACAAGTAACTGCAAAGAGCAATACTGGGAAGTTCTTGGTACAAAAAATAATAAACTTGTCTTATTAAAATGCAAGAAAGTCGTGTTAGCTTGTGGAAAAAATCGAGATAGATTACTTGGTGTAAGATTTACGTTCTTGAAGAAATATGAAATTCATGTTTCTCAAAATAAAAACTTTTGAAATACACTTGATTATAAACAAGTCAGATAACAAAGATGCTCGTATCAAGTAATTTATGTGGAAAAATCACACTGCGTTGCTTTATATGGATTCTGTGGTTTATGTAGTGTATTCTGGTTTGATTAATTTTTTTTTAGGTGAAAGGAGAATTAGAAGGAAATCGCATTGTTTATAATCTTCGGGATTTAAAACAAATGCTTGCCTCATCAGCTACATTCTTTCCTTTAAAAAGGAAAGTTATTGTTGTTGGAGATGGAATCAGTGCTGCAGATTCGGTATTACATTGTCTTAATTCAAATATTTCTGTTCTTCACGTGATTCGTCGGGTAGATGAGCAGTTACAGTGTTAGTATTTTATGATATCTCTATGTTGTGTTCCAATTTGGTATTCGTTCTTGATAATGGGAACGGAATTTTCATGTTTTCTTAAATGCTCATTTCTGCTTTGCACATGATCCGTAATCTGTACGTTAGATTAATTTTAGAGTAATCTTTTGAAGTTAATTTTTCTTCGCATAATTTGACTTTGTACGGTGCTTTGTAAACTAGTTTAGTTATCAAATTTCAGTTACAAAGCTGTCACGTCTTAACGTATCCATATATCCGGAATATGCTAGAGTTTTCAATTTAATGACGGGACGTTGCAGAGATTCTCTTTATACGAAAATTACATGCGCCACTGTTGAATCGGTGAATGAAGGTTCAGTTCTAATTAAAACTGCTCAGGGAACTTCAACGGTTAATTCTTTATGCACATGTCATTGATATGTTTTAAATAAAATGTTCTTTAAAGTTATTTGATCTTGTTGTAAGCAGTAAATAATGCTAAAAAGTATAGGTCAAAATTTTTATGAAGAGAAATAAGGGAATCGAAAAAAAGTTGAACGACTTCAAACATTATGTTAATCTTTTTTAGCTGAAGTAACATACTTTTAGGAACATTTTGAGATTTTATGCATATGCATCGGGAAAGAATCAGATTTAAGTATGTTAGCAGATAAATACACATTTCAAGATTATTATTGCAATGAAGATTCATCATTGTTTTGCATCGGGTCGCTTGCAGAAGATCACTTTGTGCGTTATCTAATAGGTATGTTTCTATTCCAGTTAGTAGGGAAATTATGAAATAAAGACTGAAATTTTCTATTCAAGGAGTTGCAGTCATCCAGCAGAATTTGCAGGAGGTGCAATGGAGGTTGCTCGGTCTTTGATGTATTCTTGCTGATTTTTTATATTGTCGATCATACCAAACAATAATGGTATGTAATAATAAAGAATAGTAAGGATATGTAATAATGCAAAAACACAGAACAGTAACGGTATACTTACGATGCAAGAAGGATTAATTTATATCTTTGTTATTAGCAAATGGAATTACTATGCAAGTTTATAAAGAAGGAAATTATGCCAATTTATAATAAAGTTAATATAAGCTATATTTTGTTAGAAAATATTATAAATACGAAAAATGTTGAGGTGGTTTATACGTTCAGGTAATTTTTCAATATATATCTTGATTGAGGTCGAAATTTTCCAATTGCCTTTGTGATTCTTTATTTTCTTTCGCTATTGTAAATGAAGTCAAGCAGTTATCAAGTTTGTGGTTTTTTCTGCTTGACTTACTGTTGCGTTTTGTTGCTGTTAAACTTGTGTTTAGTTAGAGCGAAAATAATCAATAAGGCTTAAATCAAATTTAAGCTGTCAAATATTATATGGCTTATCTTTTTCAAACTTGATTGATTGTTGTATGGGTTTCGACCTGAAAAGTAAGGAAATATTTGCAAAAAAGATCATAATTTTTATTGGTTTCGTGCGATTTGAAATCTTTGTTTTTTCCAGTTTGTTCCAATCAATATTTTCCCGCTACCATATTTATGTAAGCAGTTGATGGTGTCATCCATCTGTCAGTAACTGAAATGAAAAGACATTGTAATTCTTCTTGGTTTTTTCGTAGCCAAGAAATCTATGAATATAACCAAATTGAAGATAAATAATGGAAGCATATATCTGTTTTCTTTACTTTGAAATTGACTGTAATTACTGTATTTGTTTCATATATGCCATTCCTTACTTGATAAACATTTTCATTTCTTCGAACGTTTGAATTTTCGTTACATATTAAATCTTCTAGTAAGTTAGGTAGAAGGTTACAGATTAAAGTTTATGACGAGCAAAGTGGAGATGTTATTCTATGAAATTGGAAGGCAAAGGAATTGAATATTTGAAGATACTCCAAACGCCGAAGTAGGATTATTTTTAAATAAACTTTTTACACACACGGCAACTAATATTTGCAAGCATTGAAGGACGAGTTTGTAAATAAAGCTCATTGTAACGGGAGGTAGAGTAAAATATTCTGGTCGAGTGGTTTGCGAAACCGGATTTGGCGTTTACTGTTGCATTTCTTTGTAATGATAAGGCGCCCAATCAATAAATAATTGCAATACATAGTCGTGTTTTCCGAGTCGAAAAGTTACAAGTATTTTTTTCCAGTCCAGGTGTGATATCAAAAGAAGTAATCCAATACAGTATGCAGTTGCTAGTCATCATATTGCTAATAGAGTGTGAAATTTTGGAGCAAGAACTTTCTTCTCATTCTGACTCTTCAACTGCACTTACTTTCGACTGTTCCCTTTTAAGGTATCATCTTCAGTACTGAACGAAAGCAAGGTTGGTACTGATCACTTTTTGGATTAAGAGATTATTAGCACGAAATATTCTCTTGATCAAAAAATGAAATGATCGTGATGGTAGAGATGAGTATAAATTATGGCAAAATATTAATAAAAGGAAAATCTAGAGAATAAGTGATAAATAGATCAGTAATGCAGTTCTCGCCCTGAAATCTACTCGTGTAATATTTACCTAAAAGTAAGCATAACAGCGCGATATGCACATATGCGAGAATGAAATGATCTAGAAAAGCTGGAAGAGTGAGTGAATCTTATAAGGTGTTGCTTGAGAGTGAAACACAAACTAACAGGTTATTTCATCATTTGACACCAACTTCATCTCCTAGAGTTTAAATTCGGTAGCAGAACTAACAAAGCAGCAATCAAATATTACTTGTTGCATTTAATCCAGTCTTCAATTTGCTAGTATTTTTTATCACTACTATCACTACTAGTACTGATTAGTAAAAGTAATAATTAGAAATTATTACTACCTACGGAGTAAACTTTACTACCTTCACAATTTACTTTATCTTCCACTTGCTGCAAATCATCCACTGCTACCGGCAATTGCTCTTCCTTGCCATTTCTTGTCCAGTTTTAAGTATATTAAATTTGGTAGCAAGATCTCGAAGTAGATGATATATTATTATATTAGGAATATAAGTAAAAACATTTCAAATGATCGATTGTTTTTGCGATAAGGTCGAAGATTGTGCGCAATCAATCACTATTTCATACTATATACTATGCTTATATAGCAATTCTTGTCATTGCTGGGTTCATTTAAATTACTGCAAAGTCTTAATAATTAATCAATTATTTAAAGCGTTTTTATTTCCTTTTCATATTATAATGATATATCACTTAAATTTTTAGTGTTGCAATTAATAATCTTTACACCACTTATTTGGTGATAATTAATAAGTAGCTGAATGTACATTTCATTAATAGTGGACACGGTTACAATAAGAAGTTTTTGATCTACAAATAAGAGGTTTTTAATCTACAACTTAATACAACCTCGACTCATTGACTTTTTATTGTTTAGTCATATACTGCTTGAAGAGCTCGGACATTTGTACCATGGTATAGTCATCATATTACAGAGCGGAAATTATTGAAAAAGTTGTGATATAAAATTGAAAAGTTATGATAATTTATAAATAGCTCAGATAATGTATGCAAGTAAAAGGTATAAAACGAAAGTGAATTCGTTTGAGCAAACAATACGCATAAAGTATTTCTGTATTTTGATTATGTATGTATGTATGTATGTGTATGTGTATGTGTATGTGTATGTGTATGTATGTTTATGTATGTGAATGAACATGTGTTTGAGTGTGCTTCGTGACTGAGGTAGAGGAAAGACGTTGGTGTTATACTTGGAAGCACTGATTAAAATGTGAAGTTTCGCCATCATTCAGCATGTAGTCACTTGTCTATGAGAGGTAGTACAGTGTGCTTACGATTTCTTGCAAGAACTTTGACATTTTCTCGCTAGTCGCTGCAAACTTCCCTTATGATGCCGCTATAACTGTTTCGCTCTATTATTTAGTGGTATTGTTGTTGCGAGTTTTGTATTGTATTATCTTGTTTGCTTATGTGTGCATTTCCAACAACTTTTGCAGGTTAAATACAATCTTTTATTTAAAAATTCAAAAGAAAATTCCATTTCTTAGGATGGCTTTTCAATTTGAAGCATTACTAATACTTTTGATACTACCATTATTACTATAGTACTATTATTCTTTTCTTTTCCATTTTCGCCCATCTACATGAAACACCATCGAATTACATTTTTGTTTTATTTCTTTTCTCTCTTTTCTTCTTCACAAATATTTAACAACTAACAAATTAAAAAATCAATGCAGTCATTCTTCACAGGGCTGTTTTGCGTTATTTGATCAAAGAAGTACATGATTCATGAACACAACTTGCACCAACTTTCTACATCAATATAATCATAAATACCAATTTTTTGTTCGTAGTAAAGTGTGTATTTTGATCATGTAGAAAAACAAGAGCAATTTTGATCTAGTCCTTGCTATGCTCCACAACATTTTGTATGCTACCATCTGCAGGGAGCAATATACAGTTTACTCATCTATCTGGCTGAGATCATTGAGTTTGATTACAGGTAAATGTGAGACTATCACAGCAACAATATTACTACCAAAATATGATTCACGAGGACCGCCTCAATGCTGTATATCTGGCATTTACTTTAATTTCATTATGCAAAATGTTTTTCGTTTCTTGCATCATGTACACTAATAGTAACAGTAAAATAGCTTTCCTTTAACTTCTTTCCTATCAAATTTCGAAAAAGTTCCTGTCTTAAAAAACTTAAAGAATAGATGATATCCAGCGCCTACACGAAATTCAAAGTATTTTTACGGCTGTAATATGAATTTTATTTGAAGAAGTGGCATACAGCACGTTTTTTGTGTGTTAGTATATGTAATAACTTTATAAAATAAAGTGTGCATCTAGTAAAAATAAAAAAATCAGCAAACAAATATTGAGTGCAATAAATTTGAGTAATAAGCACTTATTTACTTAAATTACTACTTCATTACTGTTGTACAAAAGTCGGTCTCTACGTAATAGCTCATTTAATTAAAACTAAAAAGATGTGAAGAAACAGAGTAGTGCGTTACACAGTTGAAGAAGCATTATTTCTGACATCATACAGAATGAGTAACCTGAGCATCTAGCGCTAATTTTATTCTTGAAAGAAGATAGAAATAGTCAAATATCAGTCATATAAGTTGATTTAATATCTGCTAGAAAAATCTTGCTAAATGTTACTGCGTATGATTACTCATTCAACTGTCAATTTTTGTAGGAGAGATTTAAAAACTGTTTTTTTAGATAGCAAACAATGTACTTATGAGACGCAATCGCTTTTTCTACAAACTATTATAAAAACTTGCAAAATTGCTATTTACTCATTTATCTATCTGTGTATAAATGTTTGGTATGGAATGAAAGTTACAGAAAGATTAGCAAGAGGGTTATTGCTTTGTTGTTAACTATCTTCTTAGAAAAGCATAACGAAAAGTTAGACAAGTTGTAATTAAGAAGTGAAACAAAACCAGAACTTTGGAATCACAGCAGAGATGCTACTTCAACAGCATGCCATTTGTGTAACGATTATTGTCTGCCCCATTTTGTTCACCCGAAGCGATCAAAGTGAAGAGTATAGAGAAGTGTCCAACCGACGACTCACGGATCAGATCGCTGAAAAAGCCAAGCAGACTGTTGTTGACATCGGTGAAGTAATGAAATCACAGCAATCAGTTTTGGAATGCGATGGCAAAAAGTAATACTTCACCTCTCTTTTATCCTTTATTTCTGAGTAACTTTTTTAGTCATTATTAATTTTTAAGCTGCAGAAAGTTTTCATCTAAACTTAAAGCATTACTTACTATTAATAATCACTATATATATATTTGTTTAAGTTCTTGTTTGGCTTTTCATCTTATTTCAATAAGTTTTGTTTTTATATTTATTTTTTTGCGCCCAAGTATAACGCCCAAAGATGCTTTCATAGATTCGCGATTAGACTGAATACAATCTTACAGTCCTTTAATAAAAAAGTGTTTGTTATTATTTCTGTGTTGATTACAATCTTGTTTATTTTCATCTTAAGAAATCTACCTACTTATTCTTGAACAACACTCCTTTGATTATTTGCAGTTTATGACAGTATAATAATATGATTTGGATTTACTTGAAATTTCTTGCAAATTCAGGTGCCCAAACAACAATATATTCATATTTTACCAATGTTGTAAAGACAATTCTAAAGAATGTTGTTGGCACATTCGATACTGGCTCACGTAAGTATTTCCCTTTGTAAGGCAGCAAATATTTCTATTTCTAAGCCACTACTCACTTTTTTATTCACTTACGCAAAGTTGATCAATTTCAGCATTGTATTAATACTCTTTCTGCTTAAAATGTTGTGGTCCGGTTTGGTATGGTGCATACGTAGGTCGTGTCGTGATTGATAAAAGAGGAAAATGGAATCATGTTTTTTGTGGAATTCTTGGTTGCAATTATTCTAATTTCTGCGGGCCAATAAATAATCTCAAATAGCTTAATAATAAAGTAGTTTCACGAATCATCGTCATCTGTTGCGTATTACTTTCTCAAACTTTTGAACAGTGTTTTGGCCTGCCTTAAAAATACTATCTGTTTTGTCTAGAACAATAATTTGATGATAAAATCATTATCCTCTTCTGTAAAGCACTAAAACACATAACTTCAATTTTTAGCAATTTAATTGGGTTATTGAAGTTCTGTTAGCCAAATAAATCATTTCTCCTTATTCGAAAATACAATTCTTATTGTTATTTCTGCATCTTGAACAATTATGATATTTGGTAATAGCAGAGGAGCAAGGAAGTGTTTGAGATTCCTTCTTGTTATGACTACAACTTTGAGGGTTGTTGCAATTTCTTCTCTCAAAGTTTGTGCCTAAAACGTTATATATATGCGCAGTTTTGCAACTGTGATATCAAGCAAGACTTTTTGTCACAAATAATTTTACTGCATTCAGTCTCTATAAAAATTATGCTCTGATATACGACTCTTTCTCATTAAATATATATATATATATGTGTTCATAACTGTACAAAATTCTGTCAAACAAATTGACAGTTTCGCTGATTAAACTAACTTTTACGGCAAATGTGTGCGTTCATCGCATCCCACGCAATTTGGACAAAGTAGAAAAAATCTTACAAAAATGCTTCCATTTATTTACTTATTTCACTAGGGAAAACTAAAATTTTAATTGAAAGCAATAAAACACATAGCTTTAGACTACTGGCTGTCACTGAGAAATAAAACACAGAATGAGAATCCAAGACCTTTGCTCTACCATTTACTTTTTATTTTTCATTTATGTGGCAAGAGTTTCATGCACTGAAATCTCAATGACTTAAAACAAAAAAAATATGCAAAATTTTATAATGAAGTAACTCTATTTTTATCACTGAGAACGCCAATTACCTGTTTGCTATCATAATAGGCTTTGAAAGCAGAACCGGATATATTGAGCAGATTGTCACATTCATGCGTACATGCATGTTTCGAAGGCGTAAAGGATGACAGGTTCCAGTGATCTTTTCCCAATATTATTTTATACCTTTAATCATAATTCACTTAATTATCAAGGACATTCCTTTGACGAATTCTGGTAATCTTAAACTATTGTGTCAAATTACCAGTAAATAATGCTTTCGCTTAATACCATCTGCATTGTCTCTATTTTGTATATCACAGCAGTAGCAAAACGAATTCAAATTGTTCTACGTCAAAACGTCACTCGATTTTGTCCAGGGCGTAAGTCAGTTCTTATGCAGATGAATTCATTATTATAAATCTATTTCATGATTTATAAGAGTATTATGTAAATTTTGCATTAATTTCAATAATGTTATGTTAATAAAGTACTGACGAAATTTCTTACAAAACTTCATTGAGAAAGGATGGCAGACTGGATACAACCAATTTTTTCATAACTTACGCCAATTACCTGTTTGCTACTAATTAATTTCAATAACTACAACACTGTTTACAAGTATTGGAAACTACAAAAGCTACATCACTTACGAAACAAAGAATTTCTGTAGCCAGCGGAAATGAAACGAAATTAAAAGGAAATTCAATCAACGAACACTCCTCATTGAGGGTAATTCAGACCGTGAAAGAACTGATTTTACTTCAGAACAATTCGAATTGATCGATGGAAAAACAATGAATGTTCACTTCGAATTGGTATCAATAGTAAGTGGCGCTGACCATTTCCTAATTACCGGACAGAATGGAAATACACTGATGGTTTCATTCCCTGGGTAGACCCTTTTATTTTTTAATTTAGAATTACTGAAATACGAGAAATTTTGGAGAATATTTAGATGCTTCCGTGTTCGACTGAATCTTCAATTTAAAAAGGTAATCAGGAATCCATACATTGAATCTTTCATACAACTTGGAACAAACATACCATGCAAGGCGGATGAATACGAAATAAACAGTGATGTCCACAGAATTTGCACGAATATTTCACAAGACAACTGGTGTCCTCCTAGTGCCAATCAGAAGCTACAGTCAATGCTTACGGAAAAATCTACATGGTACTACTCTATAATTGAGGTTGAGAAACCATTCCATCGCTCTATCCAAAAAACAAAACCGAAAACCAGCGATCTTTCGTGCTACATTTAAGAAAACATATTTCATTACAGCAGATTTTGCAACTTGTGCCCATCACTGAAGTCAAATGATGAAAATACTGAAAGCTATATTACGAATGAAGAAACCGATGAATGTGATTCAGCGAAGTTATTGAGAACTTTTAGCTTCAAAGTACCATTTTTAAATAGATACTTATTAGACACACGCATCGAAATATGACTGTCACAACAATATTCCATTTCAGATTTGTACACCACCACTTCAACAGCTTCGAGGAAAAGATGAACTTAATGGAAAATTAGAGGAGTATTGGAGCTACTTAAAACAGGTTTGCACTGCAAGCTTTAGCTAAATCGCATTATATTACAGATTTTCGAAATTACGTCATGACAAAGAATGCTTATAAAAAAATTCTGACATTCCGTTGCTCAGTAATAAACCTGCCGTGACAGGATCAAAGTTGACTACCGTAATGGACAGCTTATCTATTATTCCTTATTTCTATAACGTCCTTGTTTAAATTGCGCCTCCAAATTTCTAACAAAAAAAAAACTGATCTAACAACGTAAGGAATAGATACAATTATATGCTTTATCAAGGGTGTAATCACAGCAGTAGTCCATATTCTGGACCGCCCCAATTTAGAAGAAACTAGACTGAAACACTGTGAACGCTTATGCATGATTCACGAAAATCGTCCCACCATATCTGAATCATACCAGAAAACTTTACTGCGGTCTATTCAAACCTTCTGTGTTCCAAACGATTCTTACGCTGCTTGCATCTACCACACAATGAAATTCAATGTTATCGACAACTAATCGTAAACTTCATAAATAAACGACAAGTATTATGTGTTCAGTTTCCATCAAATAAGAGAAAAAACATCACTCGACTGCACAAACAACATCTCACATAGTTGGCATACCACTTTCAGTACAGTCAACTTATTTCATTTCACACATTACCCTTGCATAACTATATTAACATTACCTTACCATTAAAAGTACAAGAGCAGATATATTAATATATATAAGAATTGCGTGTGTACTGAGGAATACAGAATTTTCCAATCCCAACAGCATAATTATAACAAATCATCAATCTCTCCAAGATATTCACAAACATCATCAAAACTCATGATTACGATCTCTTCCGTAGAGATCAATCTGGCAATAACCGTATGTTTTTTCTTATCTCTAGTTTCCATCACAGCAATGCTCCCACGATAAGGACCATTTACAATCATCAGTCGTCCACCCTTTGCTTTTGGTATAACTGTTTCTAGCCAGCATTCATTGATTTCTAAAATCACAAAAACACCATTAATACTCAAAGATATATGTAAAATATTAGCAATTCAAACATACTGTTGAAGAATATAAGACAATTATTTACTAACGATAATATGTATTCCCATCGCAGTCTTCCACGATGCAATTCTCACGATCTGAGGCATCCACAATCCGAACTTTCTTTTTATACAGTTTTCCATCCTAAAAATAGAACTGACATGAACTTAAGACAAAAAAACTTGGAATGAAAATAAACAAATGTATGGAAATGTCTAATGGACAGGAGATCATAAAATTAATAATACATGAAAATGTATATCTTTTCGATTCTCAGAAATTCGATACGATCTAAAGAGGGGAAACACAAAAATAAAGATCGAAATCATGATAAATCAAACCTTGAATTTTTCGTTGATGAATCTCACTTTTAATTCTGGTTGTGCCCACATTTCTTGCTTAGACACATGATTAATAGTTTCACATTTTTTATTTTTGTGATCTTTCTTCAGCAACATACTCATTTCACATTCTTCTCTTCTGACGTTATCTTTGAAATGCTTGACACCGCTATGAGGATTATGCCCTTAAAGTGATAACAGTGGTACAAGACTTAATATAAATACAAAAAATAATCTCGTAGATGCACACAAAATTAATGATTTGGAGCTATTGACATTCAAAGAAAAGGACAAGAAAGCTTGACTGCTTGGTACCAAAAATACTATGGTCAGTGTGAATTCAGGTTACTCGCATTTCTGTTGACGTTTACAAGGGGAAGAATTATATAAACTGCACTACACTCCCAAATCATTTAATTTGATCTGGCGCCTAATAAGTCAGACAATTAGATTCGACATTAGAACGTTTATAGATTATATAATGTTTGAAAGAAAATTTAGAATTGTATTCATAAAATAAAATCTGATAGTAATCAACATTTGATTCAACTCAGCCAATTTTTAGCAGCAGACGCGATGTACAACGTTCGTAACGAGAGACACTACGCTACTTTTACTATGTATTCTCCTACAACACATATAATACAGAAAGTGATGTAATCCTTCTCAAATATTAAAAATAAGCTTACTAAAATTTTTAGTTTCTCTCTCATATTCTTTACTATTGACCACAAATAGTGCATACTGACTAACGCGAACGTTCTTGCCATTCAAATCCAGCTGGACGATAACGCTTGCGTTGTCTTCATCGAAACTCGCTACTTTACCATACAAGTTCCTAAACATTTCAGTTCATTATTTTTAAAAAAGTTAGATTTATGAGGCTATCATGAATATACAATGAACAAGTTATGGGCAATTCCTGATCCCAAATTGATCTGACTGCGTCAAAAATTTTGAAAGTGATTTATTTCAGAGGATACGTACTTTCTGCCAGTCGAAACAAATACTCGAACTACACTAAAACGATATTAATGTGTAAAAAATATAAACATATATCAAGTTTACATTATTATACCAGCAACTACCTATAGATTCCTTTCGTGATCTTCACAAATGAAGAATTCTTAAGAACATTTGATTTTTTTGCACTTGAATTTTTGTCAATCTGTTTTGTCATCGAAACTTCCATACCCAGTCCAATTCCTTTTGGTCTATTGTGTGATGTTCGTAGAGGAACTACCCTAAAAGGTAAAAGTCGAAATTATGATAAGATAAACGATACGGCACGAAAGATGCTTGTTGAAGCAATCATGCACGGTAAAATATAAAGGATTAATTCCACATACAATTATGCTGGGATCAAAAACCTTGCTTTTACTAACGAAAGTTAACTAACCGTTTATTGGTTTTCCCGATGCCTTCGCCTTCGCGCCAACCACAGCCTCTCAATAAAGCAAGACCAAACATTTCAATTGGTACAGAATCATAATCAGCATCTACACTGCTGCCAGTTTTGTTTTTCAAACCATCCAATGTGTCCTTATTCTGAAAAAAAAATGTAAAATCATAACCAAGTTATGAAAAAAGGAAAAGTCACCTCTTGAATCGATGATGGTGTATCTTCCATGGCTGATCGTAACTGGGCCAACTCTTCTTCATCAAGTTTGCCTTCGTTTTTCAGTTGCAATAAACGCTCAAATCTCCAACTCCTTTCCATCACCATAGGTATGACGAAATTATTTTTCGATTTACTGCTTTCTTCCAGACTAAGATAAAAAAGATTAACTAACATCTTTATTTGACACATTCGCAAAATAATGTTAACAAAGAAAACGAGTTAAGAAGATAGAGTAACTGCTCAGAGTTTTTAGTAGTCGGTCGATACTATTCTTAATAAAGAAACATTAATGATTATTTTTATGGAATCTATATAATTCAAGTCAACGTACTGAAATGTTTGTCCATCTACTACAGTCATACGATGGTGACGATTATTTTCATTTACATCTTCAATGTCATCATCATCTTCAATATCAAAACCCCCACGCTTTCTTCTTTCACATAGTTCAGAATTGGATAATGGTAGCAAATTATTTTGATTACTAGATAACTTGATTTTAATATACTGCTTGGTCTCTGGTGGCTTCTGAAGTAACATATTGTCCGGAGTTTCTTGCATGCTGCTTGAACAATGATGTGCTGATGTAGAAGCCATTGATTACCCTTCTTCCTGAAAAATTCAAGTCATCAGATAAAGTTTCTGAATTTTACTGTGGAAAACTTGCATAACTACAAACTTTCTATTAGAAAGAAAGTGAAAATTTTCGTATTTTTCTACATATTATATGGAATGAAAAGAAATAATCTCATTCATATGGAAGATAAAGTGTTCACATCAAAAATCATCGGAAATGTTCAGATGACTTTATAAAGAGACACTAGACACACGCAAATACATACACAAATACAGAATTAACAGGCATTGTAGATTTACGAAGGCATCAAATAAATGGTCAACTATATCGACTTCCTACATCCGTAACAACGGATAAAGAGTCGTACAGGTACGCAACAAGATAACTTTTTTCAGACGTAAAGAACTCTTTTTACTATTCTAGCACCTACCAGGAAGTTTTTCTACATAGTCACAGAAACCGAAAATGAACAATTTCCATAGTCATACTTTTCCACAATGGTATGTCAGTCAGCTAAATTGCCCAGGCAAAAGGTGATACAACCTGTACGTCTCAATCCTTATTAAAGTTTGTAAGTAATAAAAGAGATAGTACCGATATGCATAAAAATGAGACTGATACATTTTGTTGTAATGAACAATTTTTTACACAATACGGTTGGTATAAGACTAATTTTCTAGAATCATAACAAAAATACAAAGTGACTTCTAGTTTCCAAACTAATTAATTCTCAAAAATATCCAGCCTTACGAGAAAGAAATAAGATATATTTCAAATGCACTCTCCTCCTTAACACACCATTCATCTCTCTCAAACTTTTCAATGTCACTTTTTAGAGCTGTGCACGGCCGATTGGTTTTTTGCGGACGGCATTGTGTATTATGACTAGATTGATTTTATTCTGAATGCTTTGGAGGCTTGTAATATTTCTATCGTAGTAATTCACATACTCACTCAATTCTGTCAGTATATAAGCTCCACTATCGCGTCTGTATTGCATATGTACCATTTTTGCCGTTGGTAGACTGTACAGTATGTATCACTGATGCTTTTTTTGGGTACGGTAATCTGTCTATTTTAGACTAACTCATTTGTAAGCTGCAGGACTAAAACCCTTCGACATGCCCAAAAATAAAGGAAAAGGTGGGAAAAATCGTCGGAGGGGTAAGAATGAGAATGATATTATGAAGCGAGAATTAATATATAAAGAACCAGGACAAGGTGAGTGAGTACTTGGCTCATTAATTTGCTTTAATTTAATAATTAGGATTGTAAATGATGGATGCCGATTTTAGTGTAATTAATCAAATAGCTAAGAAATGAAGTAAGAAACCAATTGTATTTTCCACGGTTCCATCCTTGTATATTTGAATGATTCTAATACGGAATTGGAACAGATGTGTTTGGTGGTTTTTACTAATGAAAGCTTTTATTTAATGTAAAAAATGATATGAAGGGAAGTTTCGACTGCAGGTTTCTATGCTGATTGTGAACCATTACGACACTTCAAAACCAAGTTCTTGAATCTCGTGATTATATTAGCTCTTATTACTTACCTGATTCATCTATGATGCAGGATTATAAATCAAGGCAAATTTAATGAGGAAAAAATTGGAATTTGCTTTCTACTTGTAATGTATATTAAAATGTGGTTTCTATGAAGATATGTAATTTTATCGATTGCTCAACATTAAGATAAGGTTGAAAGTTGAAAAGTACTTTGATTTCATCCGCTATAACTTTTAATGATGTACTTTGTAGAATATGCACAGGTAATAAAAATGCTTGGGAATGGCAGGCTGAATGCAAATTGTTTTGATGGAAAACCACGATTGTGCCATATTCGAGGAAAGCTGCGTAAGAAAGTCTGGATCAACACCGGTGATATTATACTCATTGGTCTTAGAGATTATCAGGATGACAAAGTAATTTATTTTCAACCATTTTTTTTGGTGATTGGTTTCATTTGACATTTTTTCCTGTATAGAAAGGAACTAGTAAAGAGTTGTATCTCCGTCGTTTTTAATTTTTCCTGTGCTAATTAAAATTGTTAATCATTTGAAATTTAAGAAAATGTAAGCTAAATATTGAAGGCTGATGTTATCTTGAAATATAACCCAGATGAAGCAAGGAATTTAAAAGCATGTGGACAGCTACCTGAAAATGCGAAGCTCAATGAAGGTGGAGATGATCTTGATGAGGGAGGAGTAGAATTCGGTTTGTTATTTTGTTTCAATTAAAATTTTATTTTTGGTCCAACTCTTTCCAATTTTTTTGCAATTTTAGCAGACACTGGCGCGTTATCCAACGAAGAAAATGATGGATCTGGTATTGAAGATTTCCCCTCAGTAGAGTCTAATTCGGAGGAAGAGGATGAAGAAGAAGAAAGTGAAGATAGTGATGATGAATATATCTCAGAAGAGCATCTGGTAAGAACTTATATCAAACCAGGAGCCAGAGATCGTCCGCAGAGAAAGAATAAGTGGTAATAAAGGCTGTGGAATGTCTTTGCTGATTGTAAAACCTCATTTCTTTCATCTTACGCAGTTTTGGAATCAAGTCTAAAGTTGCAGTTGAATGATATTTGAATTTATGTTGTTGTGAACTCGCTTCAAGGGTTTATCTTTATCCCTCAGAAGGATTCCTAAAATTCAGTTTTGTATGCTTTGTCACTATATAAAAGCAACTTAATTGCTTATCTAATTTAAACTTCAACTTGGGTGTAATGTGTTTTGAAGCCCCATCTTATAATTCCAGATTAAGAGTGTTTGATTCTTGGACACAGCTGAAAAAGCTGCAAGTGCATATCCCATTTGTTTACGTGATGACGCAATCACGAAAATCACTCTTCTATTAGGAAGTTGTATTCCTTGTCTTTATTAAATAGATAGTACACTGCTATAACGTTTTTACTTATTGTAAAGATGTCAAACAAACTCTGTAGAAGACGATCATACATGTGTTTACCTTGAAAATATTTGTAGTTTCTTCAATAAATTAGTAGATGTTCTAGCTACTTTTTATAGTATCGGGTAATATTAAAAAAAGCATTTAATGCGTGTGGTATAATCTCTAAAATTTCATCAAGTGTTTAGAAATAGTCTACGTCTTAAAAATGAATGACAAAAATACCGAAGATGATCGAGTCTTTATTACTAAGTAGTTATGGACGTGTTTAAAGATTACTTTTTAAAAGATAAATAAAAACTTTTACTTGATCGCCTCTTTATAAGATCAGATTTCAAAGGTGATGACTAGAAAATAGCCTATAGACACTCTGCACTTCTGAGTTGCAAACATAACTTCTTATCTTGTGAATTTTAACATTTGGAATCAGAAGATCTATAGGAAGTAAGTAGTAATTTCATTTAGAGTCATCGAAATTTGTAAGTGCACATTTCTCAGAAGGTATATTCTGCCTGAGCAAAACTAAACGGTCATCGTAATATGCAATACAGAATGAAGATGTAGTCTGGCAGTCTGTAGTGTAAATGAAATTACTATTTACTTGCTATAAATTAGTTCGAGGTATCGTTAAATCATTGCACGAAGTTTTTACGTCTCAAATGCGAAATTCAGTCATATCCAATAGTTTTGTGACGTACTCTTTCATGACTCGTAAAAAATAGTAGCAAAAACGTTCGCACAAATATCATGTAACTACCGAATTTGAAGACCGGATTTCATCTCTAACTGCATGCATGAATTTATAGTTATAGGGAACATTACAGTTCACTAAATCAGATAGAGTCACTAGTAAATTACGATGCGTGGACTTCTCACCGGTTGCTTTGACAAATTTGCTTGAAGTTTTGCCGACAAAGTAGGCTGCATTTTGCGACCTCGTCTTAGGTCAGGTGATACTTTCTGCAAAATCCTTGTCTTCCACCGCTCTTTCTTCACCATGACGATTTACTGATACCATCACAGTAACTATGGTAAATGTGATTATAATCATGAACTTCGACACTGAGCAACATGAAATGATAGAAAGTTTAGTTGGATTGCGTTCAAATTTCAAGAGGAAGCATGAAAGCAGCCAAGTGAAAAACTGCATTTCATCAGTTATGGAAGTAATTATAGGTATTGGTTGTTTCAAATAGGCCGAAATGATCTTAAACATCAGGCAGTACACAATTAATCAGTGCTCACCAGCTGCAAGAAAAATCTCGATAAATAGATCCAATTAATAACGTAAATTAGCAAGTTATTCGTTGGACCTGTTTATTAAAAGGAAATGGTCCTCTTACATGTTGAACAAATTCAAACAAGACAGTGTAAGCGGCGTATTAGTGAACAGAAAACAGATTAATTTTCTAATTCAAGTATATTTATTGCTTTACATACTATTACAATATTCTCTGTGCATCACTGCTTTAATCAAGTAAAAGTTCTTATTTTTTCACTCAAAAAGTAGTAAGTATGTTGAAAGTTGCAAAACCGATGAGTTCACGAACAACTAGTAACGAAGGAAATATTTTTGGAAGAGATGAAATAAAATCAAAGAATATGAAAGAAAAAGCTACGATGAAAGAGAAGAAGACCAGAACTGCTAACCACGTGAACCCATAGAAATTAGGAAGCCGGGAAAGAAATAAAAATCTCAGATTTGAAGAAAATGCAAAGAATTTTTGTGAGTGTCCTCCTGTAATTGCTCGACGGAAATTTTCTTCATGTTAGCAAATGCCAAAAGGAATCTAGAGATTTAGCTCACAGTATGGAGATACTTCGATTTTTGTTGCAGGCGAAAAACAGATGACAAATGTGAAAAACAAGGATATGAGAAAACACTCAGTTAGTGTACCGGAACCAGCAGAATTGCGGGGCGAGAGTGTCGGAACATTCAACGCGAGAATCAAAAAGATTAACCTTCAACATATGGTTATGTATATATATATATATAGATATTGACTTCTCGTCCTTACCGAGATGCTGAGCAATTGGCTCTGAGCGGCTGTGTTCAACGCACATAAAATGGAGGCTAAAAGGAAAAAATCCGCATCTGGAACCATAAATGAAAACAATGCAAAAACAGATGCGATT